AATGCATGAATAATTATTAACTGCGTCGTATGTAAAATATTTCTTAATAATATGTATCGAAAATAGTCTTAAACGAAGTAACAACAAAATTAAACATAATTTTAAAGTATATTATTTTTTAAAAGTATTAAACAATTTTTTAGTTTGCGTACTGTGTAATCTTTTACGAACTTACTTCAAGGTTCCTAGAAGGGTACTAAAATAATTTTGTATTCTATATAATATGTATTTAGATATTTACTCCCCCCTTTTATCGTTAACCACTTACATTTAAATTTGGTACCACGTGTACTTTTAGAATTTGTTACCGAATATACATAAGTACTTAGTTAGCACCGCAATAATAGATGACGCTGTATAAAACGATCAAACAACGTAAAGGGATATCTTTCAAATACACCGTTTATATCGTTTGCTACTAGATAGTTTAACACACCCTGTATGTTGTCCATTGTCTCCTTAGTCATCGGATCTTAATTTAAATCATTATATTTGGAATAAGTTGGCTAAAAGATTGAAAAAATCCCACGTTTCGAATAAAATCCTTCTAGAAGAATTATATAAAACAGAAGCGTTTAATTTACTCCCCTCAAACTAGTAACTCTGAACATCATTCCACACCACACCTTTATTCAAGGAGCTTAGTATTCGACACAAGCATATAAAAGTAGGTATGGAGAGGGTAGTACCCTCTCTTGAGGGGAGTATCACTAGAATACCTGCGGGCACCGATTTAGACACATTCAATTCTAAATTGTTTAAAAGACGTTATTAAGAGAAAAGGATTATGTAGCAAATATTATGTTATACATTATAATAGTTTATTTTGCAGGTGTATTTACATTTATATTGCAAAAACGCAAGCGTATCGTTACTTTAGTTTCGGTTTAAACATTTTTAAGTGCTTTTTTATTGCCTTCCTTTATCGTAAACTGCTGAGTCTTCATGGCTTGTGGTATTTTTAAATTTTAGACTCGAAAATTATATTTCGTAAAAGTGTTGAATGCTGGTATTCTTTTGAAATTTATATCAGATTTTATATGAAAATCAGGCCTGTGCCAATACTTTTGTTCACCACTGTATATATACTTTGGCGTAGTCGCATTGAGGTATAGGACATGTCAAAAATTTGTGATGGCGACGATGTTGAAGGTTAGTTGTCATTAAATAACACAATTTGCATTTAAAGTCGATTTATATAAACAAAGACTTGTCAGTACAATGTATATAACTTTTTCGTTTTTCTTTTACACCCTCTTATTCTTAATGATAGTGTACAAGTGTTGATAACCTATGCATTGGTTAAATTGTCAAACAACAATTTGAATTCTCCTACTTAAAAACATGTACATAAATATATTTTAATTTAAAATTTCTGCATGATCTTGCTGTTACTGTCACTTTTTAATCGCAAATGCAAATCATTGTTCTTTCCGATAATTATAAAACAACTTCGTTTTTAATATGTACGTATTCTTTTCGTATTGAATTATACGAAGATTTGCACACTGATGAAAAAATTCAGCAGAGCAACAGTTCTTACAAATCATCTGTTTGTATTTAGCTTTACATATTGATAAGAAAATCGAAATGCTACTTTCAATATTTTTATATTTTCTCACATTGTTTTGTAAACATATATGCATTTGAATAATAAATACGAATAAAGTTTCCATTATTTTCTTTGACAATATGTACATAATTAGGACAAAGGACGGCTCATGTTTGAAGATAAATGGCCATTTATGCGTTCAATTATTTTGAAACTATTGGTACAAGAACCTGTGACTCCAGCAGAATGGCAGGATTTATTTTACTCTGTTCATTTGGTATGTGTGTGGGATGATAATGGTCCTCCTAAGTTGAGAGATGCACTTAAAGAAGATATAATGGATTTTATAAAACAAGCTCAACAGGTATATATTATTTCTATATATAAACATATATATGTATGTGCTGAAACTAAATAAATGATTTTAATCTTCTATAGAGAATTTTAGCACATCAAGAGGAACAAGCTCTATTAAAAGCATATATAGTTGAATGGAGAAAGTTTTTTATTCAGTGTATTTATTTTCCAACACCTTTTAGACAATTAGAAACTAGTCTCGTGGGTAAAACAAGTTCCAGTACTCAAAAACGAAATCAACCCGACGATGTTGTTAGAAAGGTATTGATATATTGTACTTTCATGTTTTTTACTTTACGATCTAATCATTCTGTTTTCATTACAGTTAATGTTGGATAGTTGGAATCAGAGCATATTTGGAGAAATAAAACAGAAACTGCAGGATTCAGCAATGCGACTTATAAGAGCTGAAAGAAATGGAGAAGCATTTGATTCACAACTTGTTATTGGTGTTAGAGAATCTTACGGTAATAACTTATTTAATAATATAGAAAACAATTTATAGACTGGAACTAACTCAAAGTTCTGCTGTATATTCTAGTAAATTTATGCTCAAATACAACGGATCAGCTTCAAATATATAGAGAAAACTTTGAAGCGGCATATATAGAAACAACAGAGGCATTTTATTGGGTTAAAGCACCGGAACAATTATCGCTACACGGCGTAGAGAATTATATGCGTTACGCGGAAGCAAAGTTAAGAGAAGAAGAACTCCGAGCACAAAAGTATCTAGAACCAAACAGTGCAAGTGTACAACTTTTAACCGATTGTTGTGTACGTATGTTAGTGGCAAGTTTTAAACCAGCTATATTAGCAGAATGTCCAAGGATGATTCAACATCATCAAACAGATCGTAAGTGTAGTTTAATTTATACTGTTTAAATGATAGATCTACAATAATATTATCGATCGTATAAATTACAGAACTTAGATTGATGCTGAAATTAATGGATAGAGTATCCGAAGGTGTAGGTCCAATGTTAAGAAATTTAGAGGAACATATTGCGAGTGCAGGTCTAGCTGATATGATGGCAGCTGTAGATGTAATTACTCATGATTCTGAAAAATATGTTGAAAGATTATTAGACCTTTTCCGTCGTTTTTCAACTCTCGTTAAAGAAGCATTTGACGATGACCCCAGATTTCTAACGGCTAGAGATAAAGCTTACAAACTTGTTGTAAACGATGCAACGGTATTCAAGTTAGAATTACCAGCTCGCCAAAGTTCTGGCATCGGTACATCAATTTTAAATAATAAACCCAATAACAACAATAATAAACAGCCAGAATCAAAGTGTCCAGAGCTTCTTGCAAATTACTGTGATATGCTACTTAGAAAGACACCTCTGAGTAAAAAACTGACTTCTGATGAAATTGAAAGTAAGCTAAAAGATGTAGTAAGTATTTATTTTCTTGAAGCACAGTAATATTATACATATGAGAAATATGTGTTTACGATACGTTATTTCGTATCCATCTTTCATTAATTTCGTTTTAGTTGTTAGTGTTAAAGTATGTTCAAAATAAGGATGTATTTATGCGCTATCATAAGGCTCATTTAACACGCCGCTTAATATTAGACACATCTGCGGATTCTGAGAAAGAAGAAAATATGGTAGAATGGCTTCGCGAAGTTGGAATGCCTGCTGATTATGTTAATAAATTAGCTCGAATGTTCCAAGACATTAAAGTGTCGCAGGACCTCAATCAACAGTTCAAAGAACAGTGTAGAGCTGCTATTGCGGATAGTATAAATATTAAGGTACTAGTTGAAACGGATAGACCGTTCAATCTATATACTATAAAAATGGGCACACTAATTGAATACAATTTTATTTATAGATATTAAATGCAGGTGCATGGGCTCGAGGCAGTGAACGTGTCACTGTAAGTTTACCGTTACAATTAGAAGATTATATTCCCGAAGTAGAAGAATTTTATAAGAAAAAACATAGCGGAAGAAAATTACAATGGTACCATCATATGTCTAATGGCACGGTAAGAAATGAAATGTCTTGTCAGAGAATATTAAGACAGATGTTTTTGCGTTTATGAAGAATTTTGATGGATTAAAAGAGGTCTTCCTTAAACTAATAAAAATGTCAGCGTAATGTTAATTGATTATGTCAATATATGTTATAACAGTACAAGAAAAAGTTTTTTGATGCAGTAAAAAAGGGTATAGAATAGAACTTTTCAAGAACTTGAATATCTCGATTCTAATTTTCAGCTTCACCTTGCAACCAATTTGGATGGTGTTCCAGATAACATTTTCCAACCAAGTGGGACGCTTCGATGTGGACGTAACAACTTTTCAAATGGCAGTTTTATTCGCTTGGAATCAGCGACCGTTTGAAAAAATTACATACGAAAATTTACGACTGGCTACGGAACTTCCTGATCCTGAACTTAGACGAACGTTATGGTCTTTATGTGTCTTTCCAAAACTTAAACGACAACTTTTGTTAGTAGAACCACCTGCACATAGTCCCAAAGATTTCGCGAATGACACAAGGTTTTGGGTGAACCAGGAATTCGCTATTGTGTTAGTAATATATCTGAAAAATGCTCTATTAAAATAGTATTGTGAATTGCTATTTTTATTTTTATTCTTACCCTTATTTTTAGAAAAAATGGAAAACTACAAAAACGAGGAAAAATCAATTTAATAGGGCGGCTTCAATTATCAACTGAACGAAGTAAAGAGGAAGACAACCAATCTATTGTACAACTTAGAATATTAAGGGTTCAGGTATATTGTGTATTTAATTAACTTTCACTTTTTCATAAAGAAAACATCGTGATTTAAATATTCTGTTGCAGGAAGCGATCATTAAGATCCTAAAAATGCGCAAGAAAATTAGTAATGCTCAGTTACAAACTGAATTAGTCGATATACTGAAAAACATGTTTTTGCCGAGTAAAAAGATGATAAAAGAACAAATTGAATGGCTCATTGAACATAAATATATTCGCAGACACGATGATGACATTAATACATTTGTGTACGTGGCATAAACCGAGATTATGCATGCATATAAGAGTGTATAAACTCTTACGATTAATATTATATTTTTATAAAAATTCAGTTTTTGTGTATGAAAGTGTATGCTCAAAGAATCGTAATGTAATTGAAAGATATTTAATGTTTTTGTAACACGATCACAAAAAAGAAGAACACATCTTTAACGTGAATAATTAGTGTTTGGGCACAAAGTCATATCGTTCTGGAATCATGATTAAGTAAGATACTGCCGTTGATTACAATTGTATGCATAGTAGTTGACAATGAAATTATTATAACACTTCAAAATTCTAATCTATCAACTAAATCGCAGATTTACAAATTATTTTTATAATTTTGAATAAAACAGTTACAAACACGTTTTATTTTTTGTGTTCACACATCACACAAAAAATCTAAACACGAATGATGTAGACGCGTGAGTATGTTTATTTACTATATGTGTACATATTTTCCAAGGGTCATTGATTTCTGTGAATTTGTTTCAATTGTAAAAAGTACACTAATTATGAGAGTTTCTTTATATGACACGTTTTCACGCTGTTTTGTATTAATTGTGTCGTAACTTTTAAACGATTAAATGTGTATTTCCGACTGCAAAATTTTTAGCTGAATAAAAATACATGCAAACGGGAAATACAATAAATGGCCTATACCAACACATGTAAATGTCATATTAAAGGAATTAAAATTCATTTTCATAGACTAGTAACGCAATGTATAATCCTTATGCTGAATTTTGCACAGACACATCATGAATCATAACATGTTGACTTACCATTATTAATAACATTTATGTGTATAAAGCTTTTATATTATTAAATAAGCCAATGACAGTGTAACAGTAAACAATTTCTGAATTAAAAGAACGGAATTTTTTATAT